GCTCAAAATATTTAAGTTGTGATTTTCAATTTCAAAAAGTCTCGGGATACGTTTTTCTTCTCAGCCCACTTTCTCGCCACAGGCGAACTCGAGTTTTCCCATGACCCACCCGCTGCCCGGGAGAGGTGCTTTCCCCCCTTCTCGCCCTTCCGGGCTTTTTTTTTTTTGCCCCCTCTTTGTGGACCACTTTTTTTTGCGGTCTTTTTGGTCCGACCCATTTTTCGGGGGTTTTGGGGTTTCTGCCGGCTTTTTTCCGGTTTGGTTTAATACCTGTTAAAAAAAAGACTTTTGGCCCCCTTTCTTTGCGGAAACAAAAAAATATTTTAAAAATTTTCTCCAGGGGGGGGGGGGGGGGGGGGGGGGGAGGCGTGTAGAATGAGATGGATGAAAAGATTAAAAGATTGGAAAAGAAAAAGAGCAAAAAGATAAGATCTTTGAAGTGAGAGTGCGGTTATGTGTGCAGTTATGTGCAGTTGATGAATAACACAACAACACAAGCACGCTCAAATAGGCAATCAAGTGAACACAACAACACATCACAAAGAATATCAACATTGATTTTCAATTCTTTCAATTCTTCTTTCTCCTGTCTCACTACTTCTGCTCTGCTGCCTGCCTGCCTTTTTATTCTATCAATCATTGTATCAATCAACTATTTCCTGCGCCAGATTCTTTGTTTCCCACTTCCAAGATCAGTTTTTTTCTCATCCTATCAAAATGACACGCCGCGGACCAAAGCCTGGAGCCACAGCTGGCCAGAAACGAAAAGCTGAAGAAGAAATGTCGATTAACCCTCACACAAAAAGAGCAATGAAACAAAGGGAAAAAATGAATGAGGAGGAGGCCACTATTGAACGGGCGAAGAATGCAGATCGTGCAGCAGTAAATTATCATATTCGACAGCTGAAAAATACCGATGCATTCAGAGAGGCAAATACTGAGGATCAAAAGAAGATGATTGAGGATAAAAGAACAGAGATCATGAATAAAAGGTAGTTAACAAATCTTGAAATCTTGTTAATATAAATATTAATAGAATATAGACTTAGCACCGGGATTACAGCATCGATGCTGGAGCAGAGACAGGAAGATATCTCAAAACCAAGTGAAAAGTAAGTTCTATATTCTACTAATCATTATATTAATCATTCTAATGATTTATCACAGGCTTGCCGCATGGAATCATTTGTTAGATTCTGAGGACACCATGCAAGAAGTGAAATGGCGGCTGGAAGATGAAAAACGGTTTGGTAAAGAAAATATGCCAACTGAGGAAGATTCCCGGGCTGCGTATGAGGAAGGGGTGAAACTGATGAAAAAAGGAGGAAGTCTTGCTGCTGTTTTATACAAGCAGTGGATTCTCTCATGGAAAGATATCAGCAATTCTCTTTTTCAAAAATTCCGACATCATTCTTTCAACAATACTGCCAGTCATCATCGATTTTTAAAAAAAAATTTCAAATCAGGAGCTTTCTGTTTTGAAAATGCTGCTTTGTGCAGAACAAATTGACTCAAATTTGGCAAAGAGATGGTGGAGTGAGCAAAAGACTGAAGATTCAGAAAAGGATATTGATGCTCGTAAACAGGCTCATAGAGCCTTGAAAGAGGAAATGACTCCAGAGGAATTTATGCAAATGAGATGGAGCCCGGATGAGTGCATGCTTTTTAAGTCTGAAAGTTGATTTTTTTTTTTTTTTTTTGTTTTTATGATTATAGCAATCATTCTACTAATCTGTTTTTTGTTGAAAAATTTTTTTATTAAAGCAAGCTAACTTAGTTTAGTACATTATCTGTTTGTTTGATTTTCTTATTTACTTTTTTTATGATGTTATAATATATCAATTTTTCATTCATTCATTCTTTCTTTCTTTCTTTCTTTATTTCTTTATTTTAGAATGATGAATACTTTTTCTTTCACTTTCTTTTAAAATGCCTCCATCTGGTTATTCATATCTTCTTTCTCACAAAGATCTTATTATTAATCTTCATCAACACAATCTAACTCAACAAGATATTATCTCTCAATTGAAACGAGATCATAATCTTGAAGTTAGTCGATCAACTCTTGTTCGTTGTCTTCGAAAATGGAATGTTAGAAAAACCAAGAAATGGGAAGCTGATGAATCAATTCACAATCTTATTCAAGAATTGTTTTCACGAGGCTTGCAGGATGCTGATATTCTATCAGTTATTCAACAAAAGCATCCTGAGTCTCAACTCTCTATACGTGAGCTTCGTCAAATTCGGCAGCAATTGAAACTTCATCAGCGAAGAGATGACTATGAGAGTGATGAGATGCAGAAAGAGCTTATATCTACTGTACAGAAAGAGCTTGACAGTGGATTTATTCAGGGTTTTGGAAGAGGACATCTGTACACCCATTTTAGGCAGCAGGGGCATAGCATTTCACGGTATGTTTTGATTAATATAATGATTAGTATAATACTAATAAAATCAGAGATCGTCTATTCAAAACAGTTCGGCTTCTCGATCCAGATGGAATTACACGTCGGCTAAATGATCTCCAACGTCACCGAGGATCCTACATTGTTCCCGGACCAAATTATCTTTGGTCTATTGA